CTTTCTCATTCGGGAGTTGCCCAACATCGTCGAGGCTTTCACGATCCGGCACCTCGATGGAGTTAACTTGCAAATCCTTTGGCGTTTTTCCGGAGAGGAGATAGCATACTTGTGCCGATTGTTGGGAACCACAGATCTGCTCGATGTCGTATTCTATCGGGAAGCGCAGAAGCTGATGATAGGTGCTCGGGACAGCCCGCATAGTATACAACCAAGTTCGCCCCATGATGAGATTGTACGGCAAAGGCAGCCTGACGACCAAGAATTCCACATCCACTGTTCGGGAGCCTACTCGGACAGGTAGTATGATTTTCCCTAACGGATATTCTGGATTTGCGTTGAAGCTGAATAATGGATAAGGAGCCGGAGACAAGTCTGATTCGTTTAAGCCAAGTTTGATGAAGGTCTTGTAATACATAACCTCAGAAGTACTTCCCTGATCTATGAGAACGCGCTCGATAGTAAATCGGTTGACACATAGTTCAATGACCAGTGGATCAATGTGGGGGGCTGTTATGCCGATAAGATCAGAATCGTCAAAGGTGATACTCGGAGCTTCATGCGGCCGTTTCGCTGGCGTGAGTTGCTTCTGGGATGCAGGGAGTGTTTGAATTGTATGTACGGCTGAGGGCGTTGGCAAGCTGTATATCATATGGATGACTGCAAGCGGAGGTGATTCTCGCCGAAGTACAATTGGTCTGGTTGCGCACGTTTGGGCATGGTGCTGGGGCTGAACATCTCGGACCAACTCCTGAAGGTCTTTCATGACACAGCTACTGTCACGATCGTGATCTTTGCGATATTCACACCGCCTATCCCTTCTTGTCGAGTCGGGAGGTGCCACCGCTTCTGATGGCCTGGTGTAGAACGAGGGGGCCCACTTTATATGCGGACTTTCTTCAGAGGAACTGGAAACTTCAGATCGTCCATTCTTCTTGGGATTCGGGGATAATAAGTCGGAGCTGCTATCGATGTCTTGAAGCCGGGCTCGAGGTCGTCGATCACCTGCTTTCAAAGGTCGCTCGGGATTTTGGGGCACGGCTTGTTTGGATTTCGCTACCTCCAAAGCCAAATCCTGACGGAGGCGCTCGTTCTCATCGATCAAGTTTTCCAACCTCTGCTCATTTTGCTTTGCCTGCTCCATGATCGCTTGCATTGCCTCATGTTCTGGAGTCGAAGGTGAGGCGAAGTTCAAAACGCGTCTTGCTGGGAGAAGCTCCGGTCCGTGCGTGTTTGTTGGAGTGAAAACATCTACCTGCGTGTTTTCATAAGTGACTATTAGAGGATCCTCCGTCACGTCCGCCATGGATATGCTTGAGTATTTCCACAGACGGCGCCAGTTGTGGGGAAGTGGTTTTTGGAAATACTCTTCTGATCCTGGGGGACGCTCGTGATTCACCGATAGGCACCTGAAAGGAAGTACACACTCCGGTCGGGGGTGCCAGAATTAGCACTCTGACGGACAAGTCAGTCTCTCGTTCTAGATTACCTATATTCTAAGTTAAACACCACAATTATCACATACATTTCTCAGTCTGCTATTCCTTTATTTATACTCGTTCTCTGGGCCTTCGGGCCAGGTCCACTTTTCGCTCATTATGTTCATATTTACCCGGCTCCACAGCTCAGTACCTATTCGGCATATTTTGTAATAAACCGATATTCACTCGGCCCCTTGCTTAATCGACTATCTAGCCGAATAAGGTTGGGTCCGAGTTTCCGTGGCAATGGCCGAATGTTTAGAATCTTTATTCTTCAATGTTCGACTCTCCGGAATCTCTACGACTTCCAATATTCGGCCCCCACATATAATTATACAACTGTTATGTTTTCTAGATATTTTACAAAAAAAACCAATCACTAACTATTATATATAAGATAAACAATAATAAAAGTAAGAGAATAAATAAGAGAATAAATAAATAAATATATATATATATTTTTAATCAAGCCAAATACATAATGACCACACCTATTATTATGATTGTTATTATTTTCAAACAATATATAGATAGACACACAAATAAAATGGTTGAGTGATAGCAGCTAAATAGAATAGCATAAGTTTTATAGCTTCAACAAATCAACATGTTCTTCATCTTCCCTCTTCTCTCCCTCTCTCTCTTGCTTCTCCATCTTCCCTCTTCATCATCCCTTTTCCCCCATTTTCATTTTTTTTTTGGTGGGGGGGGGGGTTTGAAAGAAGCAGTTCGAAACTGTTACGTAACAGTGAGTAATAGGCCGTCACCGTTACGGCCGTTATAGCGCCGTTATGACCGCTACGGCCAACACACTTGTGAATCTCAATCATACCGCAAAAGCGGCCGTAACGGGTGGCGGTAACCACCACAGCCGTTACGTAACGGCGTTACGTAACGGTTGCGGCTGCTTTTTAAAACCTTGATTACGCTAGACAAATATCGGAAAGTGTTTAATGACACATTTGTAATAGCAGACTGCTTGAGTTCTTGAGACCGGGGGGGATGGCACCCCGTGTAGGGTCAATTTCAAATTCAGTGTCAGTTGGAGACCTGGATCAAAATGCTTATCTTGAAAAAGAGCCATCACCTCGCCCAACATCCCTTCCCTTTCAATAGTCAATTCAAGAGCCAAAAACAAAAGCTAGATGTAATTGGTCCACTGATGCAGGTTCGTGTCTGCTCGTGATTGAATTCCACTGCTTTAGATTCAGTCAAGTTGTGGGGCTATGACTATTTGCAATCCCTTAATAATAATCAACTTCTTGTGGGTCCCACATCTTGACTACATCAATCTCCTGTTGTTGGAGAAAAATCGACCTTGAGTTTAGTAATCTTCAACATTGGAAAGATTCTTGATTGAAGGACCTTTCCTCTGGTACCAAACTGATAAAGCACTAACAGCTTGTATCCAGCAGACAACAAACATCACAGTTGCCGGGTTGTAGCAAATTAGAAAAGCAGCAGTGGTAGATAAGAGAAGTACAACTAGAACAGGAGAAACGAAGAAAAGCAGTAGAAGCAAGGGAGAAAAGAGAGAATGTCAGCAGCAGTAGCAAAGGAGGAAAGAAGAAACAGTAGTAGCAAGGAAAAGGTAAGGCAGCAACAAAGGAAAGAAGTAGAAGAAGGGATTGCAAGATGTAAAGAAGATGTCGAGAGAAGATGACAGAAGCAGAGAGAGAGAGAGAGAGAGAAGGGGGGGGGGAGAGAGTGAAGCTCTTCCAAATGTTCAATTTTTATTCATCCTCAAAGCGTAAGTTCATTTTATATCAGTAAGGCCTATTTAGAGGCTTAATGAGACAGCCAAAACATGTAGATATCCTCTAAAACTAAGCCTATGTAACTAACTACTAAAAAATGTAGATATCCTCTAAAACTAACCTTATCAAACATAGTAACTTGATATTATAAAAATTATATGACTTAAGCCCCTAAAAATCTTAATACAATCAAAATCCAACTAGATTAAATCAAGAATCCTTAAAGGCGAATCTCTTAATACTAGTAGACTTCTTATCCCTTAATATTAATAAACTTCTTGTCAAGGTTGTCAAAATCGGGATCCTAAGTAGGATTGGTGAGAGGGTCTGGTGGATCAGATCGTAAGATCGGATCGAGGATCGTAAGATCCTACTTTCTATTAAAAAAAAGGATAAAAATTAAAATTAAAATGATACATATTAAAAGTAAGGTGAAAAATCATAAAATCTACGATCCTACTTGCGATCCTACCTATGATCCTACACGATCCCATGCGATCCTACACGATCCTACTTGCGATCCTGTTATAACATCGATCCTACAACGATCTGGATCGTTTTGGCAAAGTAGGATCGTAGGATCGTACGATCCGGATCGCGATTAACAACCATGCTTCTTGTAGGTCCCACATCTTCCTGACTGCATCACTTAAAGTTCGTAAAAACCAACAGATGTCAAGTCTTTGGTTAAGATTTTGAGGATTAAAGTGCTGCAGAGATAATTCTTTTTTATTTAGAAAAAAAAAAGAAAAAGAAATTCAACAAATAATAGACACAAATAGAAAGAAATAAGAACCCTACTCCACGAGGGCTGTTTGATATCCACACCCAAACTTTTAGAAGAGTTGCACCAATTCTTAACTTAGGAAAAACTTTCATTCCACTCAAAATTTGTGTCACAACAAAGGGCACTTTGTATTGGTACTAGAAATCCCTAAAGATGTAAAGAATTGTTCTAAAAATTGCCCCACTCAATATAGAAATCAATATATTACTCAAATTCCAACAAAATAGGTAGTTTTTACACAAATAATAGTCTAGATTGCAACCCAAGAATGTACTCTTGACCAACCAACTTAACTTAAACTCCCAAAATAAGAAATTCCAACCAAAATGGAAGCTATTGAACATAAAAATGCCAGCAAACATGATTTTATAAACTTTCATAATGACTTAATTAATCTTAATCAAGGATAAGAAACAAACGATCCACAAACCAAACATGTAGTCCTTTACTAAAACTAATGCCTGTGAGCATGCTTTTCCTCCTTGATCATTCATCACTAGGGGCAGAAAATGTTTGGATTTGGTGAAACAAAGAAGTTCTTCCCCTTCAATTTTGATGGACAAGTAGTTGCAAAGCATCAGCATTCAAGTAAAGTGTTAAGTAGTTATAACTAAATGTGAGATTTCTAGCATGTCCACTTTTCAGTCAAACAGACCTGAAATCTGTCAATCTTCTATATCATCTTTGTAAATCTTGATTAATGTCTGTTAACCCAATGGTATAGAAAAGGCAATGGTGAACCAGTAACGAGGTTTGGCAATGTTAAATTTTCCCTTTAAGTGAGCCCACCCTCATTTATCTGTCCCATCACAAAGTGCAGAATAATATCAAAATAATATCTACACAATATCTCCAGAATATCTACAGGATATACATAATATCTAGAGAATATCTCACAGGTGGACCAACAATGACATTCTAAAAATCAAATGGAACATGAAATTGAACCCATAAATTACCAAAAGAAAGAATTACCTTCATTAGATTCGTTAGAAATCCCCGTACAGATATAACAATCAACATTCCAATGAATAAGAGGGATATGTACTGCACGAGAGAGAGAGAGAGAGAGAGAGAGAGAGAGAGATGTCAGACAAAAGCAGAAGATGCCAGCCCATTTAGCCGGTAAAGCATGTTGGTGACAATATGCAAATACTAAACTTGTTGAAAGTTTCAGCACATTTATGGCCCCATTTGGTAGAGCTTTCACAAGTAATATTGCACATAAGTATATATAAAAATCTTCATTTGGGTTACTCAGCAGTACCTCTAATGTTTCTCAAGACAATATAAGGTGAAGGTTTCTTAAGAAAATATTTGGAGAAAAGGTTCTACATTTTCAACTAAGTTCTAAGAATTTTGTTTGCCTTGAAACCAATGAACTATGTAACTGTATAATTGCAGATGAGCATAATATAACACAAGTCCAAACTTTTGTTCTTCTACAGCATTTGTCAATATATCCCTTAAGATTCCATGAAACATCAAATGTAGAATTTTGGTTGGAAAAAAAAAAAAAAAAAACACAAAATCTGTACAAACACTATAACAACTTAACACATGTAATAATAGTAGTAAAATCACATGTTGATCCTGAACAACAGTTCCTTACATATCTGGGCTCATGTCTGCAACATGCCCCAAGATTAATTGCTTCTTATCATAAAAAAAAGAACACATCAATATTCATGTAGTTATCAGATCACATGACATGTGAGTTTTGATTCTGTCCAACCCAACACATGAACTAGGACTTGTTAACTAAAAGCACCACATTGTTAGCAATTTGCCCAACTAGCAAGGTGTGTGAAGATATCGTTACTAAGATGGCAAATAATAACCACATCTGCCACAGGCAGGTGACCGTGACAGACACTGCAGTATCATCCAATAATTCAGGAAAATAAACAATAACTAACCTGTGATAATAATGCAGCATTGATACCAATATCAAAGAACTGCAAGAATATGCTAATTGTCCTAGTCACAGGATCAACTGAACCAGCCTGTCAAAGAAAAGCAGAGTATTTATAGTGTACTACATTTGAAAAGATTGTGCTAAGTGTTGCAAGGAGATTTTTAATTCGGATGACACAATACATTAACATGAAACTTAATACCTCCTTGAAGACAACACTCTGCAGAGACTGCATAAATTAATTAGATCAGTTAGTATCTCACATTTTACGTATCAGACCAAGGAAATAAAAAGAACAATAAAAGTGTTAAAATCCACCTACTCTCCACCTACTTCACCCACTTAAACCTACTCCACTAAACCTAACCCACTACACCACTACCACCTCACCTACTCCACTAAACCTAACCCACTACACCACTACCACCTCCACTTCACCTACTCCTTACCTACTACATACTCACCCTCTTCTATATATAGGAATCATGAATCATTGTAATAGATATCAATATAAATCAATCAATAATACAATTCTCTATTTCTCTTTATACATTAAATTTCTACAAAAAGACAATAGGAAACCCTGCTCGTGTTGAGAAGAAGAGAATTGTGTCTTAGTCATGATAAGCTATTTTAGCAGCATCCCGGGTTTATGCTATCAAATGAAGAAGCAAAGATGTCAGGTGAACAATCTAACTTCACAATAATCAAGAATTAACATCTACCATGTGGTTGGAATGAATGACGCAACACATGCATGTGCACACATGGACCAAAAAACAAACAAGGCAAGTGCAACTACAAAAACAAATACTCGACCTCCCCAACTTTTCAAGACTTGTCATACCTTTATCATTTTATAAACACAATAGACAGAACATGCATAGCCCAGTAGATTCTGCATGTGACCCCTCCAGGTCCGAGAATAAGCAGCAGCTTCCTGAAAATGACAAACTAAACTGAATACTGGTTTCTCCACCACAGAGAGAGAGAGAGAGAGAGAGAGAGAGAGAGATCAATAACTGTTAAAATTCACCTACTACACACCTACCACTACCACCTACTACACACTCACCTACTTCACCTACTCTCCACCTACTCCTCACCTACTACACACTCACCCTCTTCTATATATAGGAATCATGAATCATTGTAATATATATCAATACAACAATCAATAATACAATCATTTCTCTTTATACATTAAATTTCTACAATAACCAATTAAACCAACAACAAAAGATGGTGGAACCAGCCAAGAGGAATGCATATTAGCTTGATGTGACTGTAGTATGTGGATAAGAAAGCCCAATATTCCACCTTCCTCATATGTTATATGAAGGTCCTCTCAACTAGCATACTAAAATATTTTGTACGTGTCACAATGCCATTGAGGTAACAAATTCTGCGTCTTTCAGGAAAAAAGAAAACTGTCCGAAAATTCATTACATTGTGTTTTCCTTTGTACTTAGATGAGAAATAAAAAATTTCTTACACTTTAAATATCCAAAAGGGGGAAGGACAAAAGGCCGTTATAGATACAGACAGGGACATGAAAGAAGAGTGGAAAGAAAACAAACAAAGAGAGCAAACAACATCAATGAGCATGGGTTGACAACCCTCTTATGGAAGCCCCTTATGGAAAGGCTACATGTTTGATGTTACATTTATTAGGAAGCATCTAAAAATCAAAGGAAATTAAGATACGTAACTAATTATTTTAAAACTACAACTAAGAGGCTGAGGATGATAATGTAATATTAATATGTTGATAAATGTAACATTAGGATTTCGAAATATTGCATGATTTACAAAGGAAAAAGATACATGAATTGGTGTGGTTCCCTAAGTTTTGACACATGTTACTGAATTCTGCTTTCTCTTCAATCTCAAGTATATATATATATCATGTTTATAGGAACTTCTAATTTCTTTTCTTTTGAAAGGAATAAGAAAAGGTCTTATTTGTCATAGCCATTCCTAATACCTATTCTTGGTGGAGTTTGAGTAAGATAGGCAAGCAACTCAAAATTCTTAACCAAATCTGGGTGAATTTTGTTATTTAAAAATGGTAACATCTTATTGGAAGGCAGTCAAGAATGGGTATCTTAGGTGGAAAGTTAACAACCCCCTAGGTATAGCAAAAGGATTTCACTAATCAGCTCTGATAGATTAGTACATCGCAGGGCAAGTAGATCTGTGAGGCTGTAATTAGCGAACAATTTGCTTCTAGAAGAGCAATATGATGCATGGTGCTATATTGGCAAGGACAATTGAGTTTGATATTTCCCAATGCATTCCAAATAATAACTTAAAGGGATCTATACTGTGAGGCAAGTACAAGGGATCCAATTTTTTGAGACAAATTACATGTTGCCATGCCATCTTTATCAATTTGTAATTACGCCTAAATTTGACTCAGTTTCATTCAAGATATTCTGAATGCAAAATCACAATAAAGCAGTACGAATACCCAAAAAAAAAAGTAGCTTAACAGCAAACTATGTATGATGTAGCCCATTACAATTTTTAAACCGATGAAGTATCTATTCTTACAGTATATGGATATGGGACCAAAAATATTTAAATTAGTAGCTGCAAAAATAAGACTACATCATTAAAAGTAAACCTTAGCTTGGCGAAGCTCATAGATTTCCAAAAATAACTGCTTTGAAAGCTCTTCCAAAGCTTGTACTTCTGCTTCCATGATTTTAATATCTAAAGAGAGCAAGAAGAAAATGGAGGTCCAAGGAAGTCAGAAGTTACACAAATATGTAGGAAACAAAGACATGGAAATATTAATTAGAAAGGTCTAAAGAAACACAACATGCTGTTTAATCTGAAAAAGCAATAGAATGACTGCAGTAATCTGTGAGTGGAAGAAATTTAATCATCAGCATTTCCCATGTGCACTTCTCAAATATACATCAAAATAGACAACTCACAGCACTCGAAAGCAACTTAAATACAACCCTAATATCTCACTAAGAGCAATGAGTATTCAAACAAAGAAGGATGAATCCTTAGTTGCATATGGAAAGTAAGACTTCTAGCATATGGAAAACTTTATACAAAGTACCTCCGTCAGAATATTTAGACAACCAAGACTCAAAAGAATTAGCACCTGGCAGATATAGAGCATAACCCCATTAGCCTTCCCAAACCCACAATTGTTGAAATTACACCTGTTTTGAGCGGACAATAAAAAGCAATGGAGGTGTCTAGAATGCCTAAAAAAACAGCCCAACCCAATTCAACAAGCCTTCATCATAGTTACCAGGATCAACTACATAGATTCGTCTCTCTAATTGGCTTTATGCAAAGCCATAGTTTCAGTCAGCATCCAAGCAATCTTCACTTTTCTCATGACCTCAACCCATGTCTTTTTTGATCTACCTCTTATCCTTTTAACACTTTCAACTTGGATTGAAACACCTCACTATGATTAAGGATGGAATATTTTCCAGACCTGAATTGCTTGCAGCAATATTTTCTCAGGATCTCAGATGTGGCACTCTAGGATTTCACCAATCTAATGTGAGAAACTTTTCTTTTCTCACAACCTCAACACACATATCTTTCGGCCTAACTCTCGTCATTTTCTGACTTTCAGCCCAGATCAAATCACTCAACACTAGTGAAGAGGTTAGAATATTTTCCAAACCTGAATACAGGACAACAATATTATCCTAGGATCTTGAATGTGTCTTTCTAGTTTTTCCAGCATACAACTAATAGGATAAAAATCATTAAAATAATTCCAAAACTTCACAAACTTCTGAAGCGTAGCCAACACATACTCCGTAGACTCCACAACATTCTAACCATAGTTAATGTCCCACATGGCAAAGAAGTGTCACCCCATACCTCTAAAGTGACTTCCATGAAAGAATGAATATACTTATTTTTGAAGAAAAAATATGTTAGCAAACAAAACAAAACAAAAAGTTAAGGGAACTTGACCCATAATCATTTGTAGCATCACATTGCTACAATACAACACCTATAGATGACAATTAATTTTTGAAAGCTACAAAAATTCACAAGGCTCTGCCTTTGGTCAGAGCAATGCAGTATGATTCAAAGCATAGATGATTGTAATTGATCTAGCAAAAGCCAGAGTTTCCCTAGGCTCCTATTAGTGCTACCCAATTTATAAACCTGAAAGATATATATATATATATATATTTATATATAGGGCTGCAAATGAACCGAGTCTAATTGAATTTTTGAATGTTCAAATTTGTTTATTAAATTTTAGTCGAGCTCGAGCCGAGCTCTAGTCGAATTTCAAAAATCAAGTTTGAGCTCAGCTCGTACCCAGGCAAAAGCGTTTATCTTTATTTAAATTATATAATAAATATATTATTTATATATTAAATAATATATAAATATATATAAATAAATTATTTATATATTAAAAATATATAAATATATATAAAAATAATAATATAAATACATTTTGTATATATTAAATAATATAAATAATATTTTTTATTTAAATATTTATATTTAAATAATATAAATAATATTAAAAAAAAATTATCGAGCCGAGCCGAGCCGAGCTCGAGTTTCATTAAAATTAACTAGCCGAGCCGAGCTCGAGCCCAGTTCCTTATCGAGCCGAGCTCGAGCCCAATTAAAGAGCTCGATAAGTAAACGGGCAGAGCTCGAGCTCAGCAAAGCTCGGCTCGGTTCGTTTGCAACCCTATTTATATACACCAAGAAAGAAAGCCAAGAAAATGAAGAATAAAAAGAAAAAAGAGAGAAAAAACCCCATACAAATTGAAATCCACTGTGAAGATGAAAAGATATCAACCGACAAACATAGATTCCTAAATAGATTACCTATAAAAAAAAAAAATGTACAAAACATGATTACAAATAAAAAAGTTGCTGACCTTGCTCCTTTTGATCCTCTTGCACAGACCGCACAATTGTCCCAACAATTTGCTTTAGGAAAGACCTATCCTTTAACTTCTGCAACATATAACTCTTAATGAGGAACAACTAAAGATCAAATTCAAACTACTCATGGAGTTAAAATGTCAGACATTAGAGATTAAGTTATTCACGGTTGATTTTTAAAACATCGATTTTATGGGCAACAAATATTTTTTACACACAAGCTATTCACAGAGAGAGGAAGGAACATGTCAGTACATTCCCATATAACCTCCCGTGCCCAAACCCATCCAAACCATTACGCATAACTCGGTCATGGAATCAAGGGATAGGAGGTTACAGAGGCAATATGTGTAGTTGGGCTGCGATGGTGATGCTTTGCCAAGGTTATGTGGGTTTAGTGTGGGTGAGTTTTTTCCGACACCAACGTCCATTCCCTTCTCCGATGTTGGTGTTCTGTTTCCCCTCCCCATCAGAAATTCCCCACTGCAAAAACTCATACCCACACCAAACCCACTCAGCTTTGGCTGAGCACCATCAGTGCCAAGAATCAAACAAGATCCAATTGAGCAAATTAGAACGATTAAAAAAAAAGGCTGAGAATTGAACAACATCCAATTGAACTAGGTGATGATGCCTCGAAGCTCAAGTGAAAAAGAATCAGAATCATAAGAATAGAAGCCATGGAACTAGGGCCTTTGGCCTAGTGGTTGAGTAGCATCGCTTTGTGGAGTGAGGTTTCAGGTTCAAATCCTACGGATAAGAGTTTGATACCTTTTGTGGTTCCCCAACCCCTACTAACTAACTTCTAACCCTTATTGATGTATACCTTGTGAAAAAAAAACAAAAAAAAGAATAGAAGACATGGAACAAGGTTGATAACAGGGAGATTGAGTAGTGGTGATGTTTGGGAAGTTCGGTCAGAGGTTTGAAAAATGGGCGGAGATTTGGTTGATAGAAAGGGAGGTTGGGAAGGAGGTGGTGGTTGGTGGTCGATGGTGAAGGTTAAGGGAGAAAGGGAAGGTGATGGAGGGAGTGGTGGTCGGTGGCAGCTGGCAAAGATAGTAAGGCGAAGTGTATGAAGTATAGGATAGAATTTTGGAAGGACCACATTTTGCTGATGTCATTCTCTTATTGGTTGTCTGATAAACTCATCGTTTGACGTGTGAAACTAAATCTCTAGACATTAAAAATATCATATTTATGAGCACTATGATTCCCATTTAGGGTCTGTTTGCTGCAACTTATTCTATGGTGGAAGTTGATAATCTATTAACAAAATCCAAGAACAGCCCTCCCCTAGCTTGAGGGTAATTGAAGCTATTTTTACCATGTAAGTTGTAAGCAAAAGGTTTGGAGATGATCTAAATAAGTACACTTATTTAGGTCACATCACCTCTCTACTTTCTGCATGTCTTTTCGTAAAAAGTCAAAAAGTGCACTAAATAAGCAAACCCCACACAACCTGTAAACAGTCTGGCATAGAATCCAAAAATAAAAAAGCCATATGCAACTTACTTATGCTGCAGCAAAAAGGCCCTTATTAACCTATAGTGTTGTACAAACCAGCATAAGCAGAAGCAAAAGTGCCTATCATTATGAACAACATAATTTAAAGCATGTTTTATTTCAAAATGTAGCTAGTAGTTAAATTTCTCCCAACATGTCAATATATTCATCAATATGTTTCACATTTTTGGGCAACAGAAATGTCATATTTTTAATCAAATTATCCATCATTGGATATAGATGTCCGATATTTTTCAAGTGACAGTTGAAAAAAAAATTGTTCACCCACATATCGGGAGCATCAACTACAGTTTTTCATTTTGTAATTCAGTTACTATGCAACACACTATGTTCCTACTGCTCTAATGAGTCACTTGAAATTCTTCCCATAACTAACATTGATGGGCAATCAATCTATATTATTAGCCCTCACTTTCTTATGCATGTTAGTTGCTTGCCATGGTTAGACACTTAAAAGAGTGACTTTGTCGGTGCAAAGAGCAAGCAGATCTCACATTACTAAGCTATATAAATAGGGTTATAGTTCACTGTAGTACACTGTTTTGATAAGTCCAGTACACTCTTATAAATCAATAATTACAACAATCAAACAGCAGTCACTATATGACATGCTTATTAATAGGCTACCACAAAGATCCATTTATTTACTGATTGTGGGTAAGAGAGGTTAGAGGCGATTGGTCGTTGACCTCTGGGAAGATGGCGGACACTTCAATGGCCTGAGATCACTGGAGGTGGAAGAGGAAAAGACCAAAGCAGGCTTAGAGAGGCAAGGGGTGGCAATGAGAGGCATTGAACACTTTGTATATGTTGTATGATTCTTGTTGTTCTTGTTATGATTGTGGCTGCACTTATGATGCTGTTATATAGATTCCAGGAGTATTGGAGCCTAAGCAACCTCAAGACCGGTGGCGAGTTCTCCTCGACTCAACAAGAGGGTGATGTCAACACCCTACTAGCTATGTCCTATGATTTAGGTCCTCGGGAAGGTTGCATCATAGGAGTTGCAACTATAGGTATGATCTTGAGAGGCTTATCATATATGCAAAGTGTAAGGTCAACGTCCCTTTCTCTAAGCTAGGTCAAGGGGGAGCTGTCACTGCAAGCCTGCAAGGAAACAGCTACATGACCTTGACAATCCCGAGGTCTTAGCCTCCAATCCACAATCCTCCAATGTTCCCAAGCAGTAGTGCCTAGGTCCTGCTCCCAACCTAAGCAGCCAAGGGGGTTAGTGCATGGGTAAGCCAAGGGCACATCCTGAGCAGCTAAGTAAACATAGGTGAGCCAAGAGTCCAACTATGTTGTTATGGAGCTGGGGTGAGTGGGTAGAGAATATATTTCTTGAGTTATGAAGGGCCATGGAGAGCTCTAGGTGAGCCAGCTCTATCAAGGTGAGTTGTGGTCCTGTTTTCACACTTGGTGGTGTGCATGCTCCCGCTTAGGCTAGGCATGTGATGGTGATGATGTGATGCCCGCAGGGCTCACCACGTGCCAAGCACATATAGATACCCACACTGATCATACCTTGGACCAAGTCCATTAGTTGAATCAAGAATATATTGCATAAAGGAGCACCAAATAAAATGACAATAGAGAATTACCGAGTCCTTGCTACCCAAATGCTAACACCTAAACGATGTTTAGTTGAGACAAGCAGGAAAAGCAGTTTGACTAAAAAGCAAGAGAACTATGAGGCAATCCTAAATGATTGTTGAATATCATTGTAGATCAGTATATGAGCACCATCTTTATAAAAGAAGCACAACACCACCAAAAATCAAATGCCAAATTAGCAGACAAAGGTAGAAAATATAAAGCAAGCCACCAAAGTTACTAATATTATGCGATTTTCAAAATCAGAAATTTCACCAAAAACATCCAAACATTAAACCAAAAAAAGAAAGAACAATAAACATAAACCAAATAAAATGTTGCCAACTTATTCACATAGTGAGATAAGTGCACCTCTTCAGACCCTTGGATTCGCTCCATCTCCATTTGACAAAGAATGATTTTCTTTTTCTTCACGATGCATGTTTCAATTGACTGCAATAGTTGCCTTTCCAGAACCTTAATCTCTGTTTCTTCAATTTCTCTTCCATATTATAAAGATAAAAATGTTGGTGTAAGAATCACATAATAATGAAAAGAAAGAAAATGAACAATTTATTATTATACATCTTTTTCATGCTTTTATGCTTATCATAAAAGAAATCTTCTTTTGTTATTTAGCCATTGGTTCCAAAAAAGCATAGCCATTATACTATAGTCAAGTTGATATGGAACTAACAAGAAGAAACTGTTAATTGACAAATTTAACTTGTCCAATGACTATTATGAGTCTTTTAAATGACCCTACTTCCGTTTTTTATATTTAGGTCCGTTAGAGAAGTGTGATAAAACTTGTAGCATTCCGAGGTTCCTATGTTAGGAATTAATATTTTACAGGATATTTATAAGTTTTTAGGATTTTATTATGCCTATAGCCTATATACAAAGCTTATGGGTGCAAAACGAATTTTAGCTTCATAAGATGAATAAAAGTATTAATAAATATTTAGAAGAGCTCAATCTCTCACTCACCTCTCGTCTTGTTTCTTTACTCTATTTCTCCTATCTCGTCTGTTATTCTTGCGTACCCTTCTTTATAGGGACTTCCCCTCAGGTTTCTGAAATTGCACTGCACTTCCTTCAGGTTTATTAATAGATAACAATTTTCCCCTTTCATGCAATCATTGTCATTAAAGGTGACAGACATGTTAAAGTGACCAATTTGACTTCATAAAAATACTAATTTTAACCTTCTTGAATTCACAGAACACTCAAATGCTTTATTTGCCCTTGTGCAAGTAAAGCGTCACATTTTCATAGAATTTAAAAAATTGAACAAGTCTATGTAAACTTTGCATCTACAAACATTGTATAATTGCATAAGACTAACCATTTTAGTTCAAAGGCTAAATTTTATTTATTTATTTATTTATTTGATTGGCACTGGGATGTCCAGATCAAAACCCGACTAATTCCCAGGGTGCAAAAGTCCTTTTTTTGGATAAATAAGGTTTACTATTTTAAAACATTACTATTATATATTATGAATCCATTGTCATTATACATTACTTTTTAAAACTGGGCACTTTAGTTTAATCAAACAAGTGCTTGTGCTTGCGTTTGCATTTTGGACTTTGCACCTAAGCTCTAGGAGACCTTTGTCCTTAAGTGCGCCTAACGCTTTCACCAACACTGATCATAAGCAGTAAAGCAGAAAAATGAAACGCCACGGAGCAAAGCACTGCTTTAACTACTTTGCATGGACAACTTGTGTCTCATTCTTACCTAATGAAGAGAGAGAGATAACTGTATGGCAAATTTACAGCTCCAAAACCAGATAGGACAGCCATTACAGTCACGCCAATAACCCCAATTCTGCTGACCAATTGAGGCATGGTGAAAAAACCTGAGAATTTAAATGATGAGAAAGGAAACAACTTGAGACTAGAAAAGTATAAAGTCATTTTTTGTAAACCAATTACTCAAAACAACTGTGTGATTAAAAACTGAATAAACAGATTGATATATAGCAAAACATGTGTAAAATAACAAATTTGACAAGCCAATATAATATGAATGGTACACAGGCAGGCATGCATACCATGTAGAGAGGCATTGAAGCAACTGTCTAGGTCAACTAGAAGATTATTTCATAATTGAATTCCTTAAAGAATGGAGCCTCTGGAGTAGTACAAATGCAAGGAGTAGGAGACCAAAGGGACACTTCTTTGTATGTGTGGAAAGAGAGATAACCAAGAAAAAATAAATAAATTCAAACCTTTATCCAGTGAAGGCATAGGAAAGTGAATGCCCATGCGCCAAAAAGCGTAGAGAAATGCCAACAAGAATAAGATGGCGCTAAGTGTAGCCCGCTCCTTCCTCACACCTGCGACGAAAGTTCAAGACTTAGAGAATAATATTTCCATTACTTACAAATTACGAGCTTGGTATAACATAATCTATCTACAAGCAAAATGGCAGAAGTTCCCCTGAATGAAACTAAATCTTGAAAATACAAACAAAAGAAACAGAAAAGAAAATTTTTTTTTTTGAGAATTAGAATAAGCATGCAACTTACCATTGTTGCAAAGCATCAAGTAACAGTGATAATAAGGCAACATGAAGACCAGTAACATTATCAAACAGAACAAATCCAGCTTCCAGTTCATCCATCTTGCCCTACAGTCAACAAGGAATACAGTGCCCTCAGATCAATTACATGCTGTATAAAGTGGCCAATGAATCCATATACCTTGACTACAAAATTAGAATTGCAGTAACCACACCAACCACTTTTATGGTTATCCAGTCCCCAATAATTCACTAAGCCTTAACCGTGCAAGTGAAGACATTGAAGTTGCATATATTACTCTAATTAACCTAAGATGAATAATTGTAGGTTTGGGTGTCTAGACCACCCTTGCTACGTGGCGACTCGGTGAGCACCATGGATGCCACGTCACCACCACTTAGCATTATCAATTCCATGTGGCAGTCCCTCCAAGGCACCACAATATCCCCAAGCAGACTAGTTGGGATATATGCCTAGCGCTCAGTGCCCTAGCCACAAGTCTAAGCACCAAGAGAATGAATCTACGTATGAAAAGCTTCGAGGCATGGCCCACAAAAACACTACTCCGCTAAGCCAAACTACCCTGCCCAGCCATAGCCCATTCATCAGAGCCGTGGCTCATTTAAATGATCTCTCGCCTGACCATGGCCCCTCATACCTCATTCCCATAGGATATGTCAAGTTGTAGTAACTAGGAGCACCATTTGACCTTGTATCTATCTACCCTATGCACTCACCCCCTTACTTGGGACTACTATCATTATTACTGTAATTGTCACATTCCATCCTTAGACTGGGAGCAAAGGCCCGCCAAGGTTGCTTGGATCACTCCCCCTTAAAAGAGTAGTCCCTCCTTGACTAGTATTAGAAAGAAAAGGGATATTAAGCCAACATTTGACACCTAAAAAGAAGTATCATACCTAGCACCTACATCATGTTGTACACAGCCCACTTTGACCGATCTTACGGCTTTGGCACCCCCAGGTGTTTTCCAATGATAAAAGTGTTACATACCCAGTGTGATGGTGCTCATGAACTTCGAATAAACCTTCTAGATTAGCCTCTCAAAATAAACCCGAATTTCCAAAATTTTTTTTGCCCTAACTAAAACAATGTTTTCAAAAAGGAAAGTGAGGTGATTGCTCATGCATTCGACCAATTTTTAATTGTTGTTTTCAATAAAAGATGTCCAAAATTAAGTATTTTTCAATAAAAGGGCAGTTAGAAGTCAATTTAGTGCATAAGTAAACAAAATCACTTAAAACAAGCGTTGCAACCAAATTGAAATGGGGCGTACATGCCAAAAACATGAGGTCACACATTTTTGGACAAACCGCAATCGGGTTCGTGATTGCCCTAAAAAGGTGGGCCCACAGGTCCCAAGTTGTGGCCGCAAGTTTTTACCTATACACATGCAAACCAAGTTTTGCGAGATTTTGTTTCTCATTCCAGTTATGGCGATGCGATATACAGACTTTGGTGTGTAGATACAAGGTGTGGCTTGCACACCAAGTGTGTAATACTTGCCCCCTAAGCAACCCTTGCAAATATATATCCCCCCTACCCCTCAAACAAAAGGAGAGAAGACACAACCCTGAATTTTGCTTCACCAAACACTCCCCCCTACACTTAGCTTCGAAATTTACCCTAAACCTCAAGGTTAGAAACTATTCCTGAGCCATCAAAGCACATTCATTGGAAAGTGGAGGCAGTAGGGTTCAAATACTAGAGGTGAACACCTGTGGGCTCTCACTTTTCAACTCGTTTGCACGTTTTCTTCGATTTTCCTTACAAACTAGAGGTTAGTCCTCTTTTACCAACGGTTTCTTTCACTATGATTTTCATCTTTGATATTGGTTAGATAGGATTCATCGCATGACTCATATTTTTACTTAGAAAATATGAGGAAGAAGAACTCCGAAAATATGAGGAAGAAGGAATATATTTCTGTTATATTCAAAACTTCTTATTTTACAAGACCAAATGACACTCCTTATATAGGAGATATTACAAACATCATTATAACCCATTATATGCCACTTACATATTATATATTACCACTATCTACCACTATCATATTATATACATGCCACTATCTACCACCAACACCACTATCATATTCTATACATGCCACTATCTACCACCAACACCACTATCATATTCTATACATGCCACTATCTACCACCAACATCACTATCATATGCCACTATCTTATTATATGCATTAACACAAATTTCCAGCATTTTTAGTGTAGTTTTTCAACACTTTTCTTGCGTATCCCTGTTATACTTTTGCCTCGCATCTTTATATTAGGAATAATAACATGGTTTCAATGCATTTAGGCCCAAATTAGCCAATGTATATACATGTTTAAATCTGTCCTTGAGTCATTTCTTTGATTTATACATGCTGTAGACATCAAAATTTTGAGATGGTTCAATTACCGTCCAATTGTTTATGACAAGTCAACTTTTTTTGATTGGTCATAATCAAAATGGTCAAAATCTTCAAAGCAATGTAAATCCCACCAAAATCTTAGAATTTAGCCCATTTAAATTATGGGTTTATACCTAGAGCAAATGGCCAACCCGTTTTGATAGTTGGATCAAGTGATTACGTTGACCCTTAGTTGCACAAAACGGGAGTGGGAGCAGGAGAGCGTGGCCACTTAGAAGAGTCGTAGGTTAGGAGCGCTTATGTGTTATTTTTATTGATAATATTTTAAATTTATCTATATAACTTTTTTATTTTTAATTGACATATATAATATATTTTTTTGGGGCTTTATTCAAATATATTAAAGTTCTTTATTTTATTTATTTTTATATTTTTTATATAATATATTTGTTTTTTAATGGGCTTTGATTGTAATATAATTAGTATTCAATATATTTGGGGAACTTACTAACAAGTCTCATCCACAAAATTCAAAATCCATGTAGTCCCAAAACAAAATACTTGCACCAAATAGTCCTATATATTTTTAATTGTTAAAAAAAAATCTTTTTTTAAACGCTCCTACATCTCGTTAGACGGTCATCGGAGACTCACCGGAATATTCAACATCACCGAGAAGTCGTTGGAACATCATCAAAAATTCGCTAGAGTATCACCGGAATGTTTTGAACGTCACCAGAAGTCGTCGGAATGTCTAGAATATTCGCTAGACGTCAAAAATATCGCCGGAGACTTACCGCAATGTCTAGAATATTGCCGAAAAAAGAAGAATAAGCTGAGAAACTAGAGTGAACAAATATGTTATGAAACTACAAAATTTTACAGTTCTAAAGAAAGTTATGAAACTACAAAATTTTATAATTCTAAAGAATGATTCAATTCAGCACCAAAAAAATTGAATTGTAAAATTTACAGTTTTCACTGCATGTAATTAAAACTCGAAAACAACTTATTCAGAATTTGAAAATTTTCTCCATTATAACAGAAAAATAGAAGTATATAGTACAAAAAAAGTATTAAAACTGAGAAATCAAAGGAAAGAGACAAATATAAAGAGATGCTTGTACTCCAATAACTATTTTTTGGTTTAGAACTAGTCGGATCTAACGTAGATCTACTCAGATCTAATCTACATCAGATTTGAGTAGATCTGATCTACATTAGATCTGAGTATATCTACTTATCTTCTTCGTCAGAAACTCATCTCTTTCTCCGTTGGTGAGCACAAAGTAAGGAGTTTGTGCTATGTAGTTGCCCGTGAACCCCAATCAATGGTGGTCGCCGATCGCTGGTGACTGTAGATTAGAAAGAGAAAGGAAAAAAAAAGAAAGGCGTGGTCGTGATCGGGGTCATGGTCGTGGTCATCACCAATATCAGAGAGAGAGATACAGAGAAGAAGTAAGGTGCAAGGAAATAGGAGAAGATAAATGGATATAGGGCTGTTAGGTCTATCTTGGGATTAAATAGAATACACACTTTTCAAAAAGAACTTGTGCGTAATTTGCCCAATATTTTTTGAAGCTGTAAGCTGACCAATTATAGGCCCAATGAAGCCCATTGAACTTCTTAACTGAAGCTTATGATCATATGCTAGGTTAAAATAAAATATATATATAAAAAGAAAGAAAGATAGATACAGCAAATAAGTGGGGCAGTTGTGCCGTCTTCTCTGTCTTTGAAGACTGGGCTGATTTGTTTCTTCGACTTCTCTCTCGGTCTGTTTTGCTTCATCTTTTTTTGAAAGGTGTGCCATCATTCTTCTCCTTCTCCTTCTAGCCCATATATGATTTTGAACATATTCTTTTCTCTTTTTTTTCCTTCTATCAGATCCATATCTTTAGATCTATGCCCAAAAATGCTTTAGATTTTTTTTATTGCTTCGGGAGTTGTTTGATTTTCATCACCAATCCCATCTTGGATAGAATCGCGTTTCTCTCCCAAAAGAAACGTGACGTGATCTGGATGCACGATTCTTGCAACTAAGGGTTGACCCAAGGATGCGGGTACAATAGGGAAACTTGTCAAAATCCTCTAAAAAATGAGAAATGGGAGAATTCGAATGCAAATTAATCTCCATTATAATGAGAGACAAATTTTCTATTATTTTGGAAATTAAAATCAATAAAATATTAATTGAAGGGGGTTTCCAAAATTAACACCCCATCCTTCGAGCCTATAAATAGAGGCTCTCATTCATTGAAAAAAGGGAGGACCTTTGGCTAAAAACTCTTTAGAAACTCTTAAACACTTTTCACAAGCCTTCAAGCATTCAAGCATCTTTGCAAGAAGCATAGAAGATCACTAAGCACATCGACAACGTGCCACATCTCCTACATGTTTAAGCATCAAGCCCGCCAAGAGATTCATTCGTTGTTTGTTCAAGATCAAGTCGTTCAAGCCCTCAATCAAGATTCTCTGCATAAAGACTTGAAGAAATTCGTCAACTCATTCGGTTCAACAACAAGCTTCTATAACTGTTGGATTGCAACAATACTAGGAGACTAAATCAGAGGATTACCATTGTAACTGGTGTAACCCACAGAGAATTGTATCCATTTTATTTAAATTAATAAAATCAATTATTTGTGCATTTATTTCTTATCTTCATTACATGATACGAAACTTGTGTATACACATGAAAAGTTGAATT